GGAACAGTGAAAATAAAGAAATAGTGGGGGGCGAGGGGGCGGGGAAGGAGAAAAAACGACGCAGGTCGCGGAAAATATCCTGGGAGGGCCGCGGTGTATCCAGTCTCACCCCTGCGGTGTTACTTTACCTTGTACGATGATGATTCATACGACACTCTATACTTCGGTGGATTAATAATTGGAGGTTGACGATGTTCTCGGGAATTTATAAGACGAAATGTGAATAATGAATGGATTTTTTTAATCCGCGGAGAGAAAGTCCTTGGAAAAACTTCCAAGGGAGAAAGCGTCTGAAATTCATCCATTCGTTTTTGCTGTGCAGCAGCAACCAAAGGTACCCAATCAAACTCGCCTCCATCCTACCGATTACAACCTCAGAAAATTCCCGCGCAGTCCTAATAACCCTCGCGATACACTGGGAAAAGCACACAACCCCGATGCATAATCAACAAAATTATCCACGGTAGACAAAATGATTGAACAGTCCCCGAGACAGCGGCGATCGATCCCCGATGATTAGCGGATAATATAAGGAGTAAAATCACGTATCAGAGGTATTTCGATTTGGTGCCCCCCCCCCCTCCCCCTCCCGCCGTAGTGCACACGCGGGAATCAACGTTCACTCAGCTTCCTCGAGTGACTCCTCATCTCCCTCTTGCCCAGTCCCTCCCCCCGGCCCCTCGGCCCCAGCAAAAATCTCACTCCTGCAGGCAAGTGTGTCGATAGAGCACGATTCCACCTAATTGAAGTAACCACAGGGCGCAACACACTCAGATCGAGCCGTATATACCCAAGAGACGCCTCCGTATCTCCTTCCAGTCCCTGGCAATCCCATCAAAATGATCAAATGACTGCCTCCCGTCTTTCTACGTTTTTCCTCCTCTTGTTCTCTCAATATTTCCGTTCGCACGTGCCATACAACCTTTTACGCCTAAATGAAATAAAAATAAACGGTGAATTCCACCGCTGCTTCTGACATTTGTGAACTAATCATTATATTGGTTTGGATTCGATCTGGGAATTTAATTACAGGATGAAAGCCGGCTTCGTGGGGAATGGGGATAATGGGGTTATTTGATTTCCGGTATTAAGGATTTTGTTATTTGAGGGGGAGTGTGTGCGTCGGGGGGACACGGAGGAAAATTTTCTAGAAATATTCTAGTACAAGTACTGGAAAAAATTACAATTCACCGGCTGTGAAAAATTCTAGGGCTGTTAAGGATGTTCTACACCCTTTCTGCCAAAATTCACGTTTTTTAATTTTTCTGGCAAACTTATGGTGGAATTGACGTGAAAAAATATAACGTTTTTGCGTTTTGTCATTATTTAATGACTGACGAAATTTTAAGGTGGTGCGAACATTTTCCTGCGTTTTCTCTAAACTTTTAAAAAGAATCACAAAACTGTAGAAAAAACGCATGACAATCATCGCACCACTACGCAACTTCGTGACCCATTAAAGAATGACAAACCACAAAATCGTTATATTTTTTCACGTCACTCCCATCGATAATTTGCCAGAAAAATGGAAACAACGCCAATTTTGGCTGAAAGGGTGTCGAACATCCTTAAGGTAAAATTTCTGGGGATTTCTGTGAAAATTTCACAGAAATACGGGGAAAAATTCACGTTTTCCCCAATAAAATTTCTAGCGCCGGCACTGGATTTTTTCCTCGCCTTCACTTTACGCCTCTTTTCCCGTGGAAGCACTAGAATTTTTCTAAAAAATTTCTCTCCGTGGAGGGGTTTCTTTGAATAATACGCGAAAAACTTGGAATAAACAAATTTCTCTCGCGCAATTTAATTGACAAATTTATAGATTAAAAATGGTTGAATCTATGGTGTGGTCTATACCCAATTCTGAAAAATCCTTGGATACTCTTAAACTAAGGTATTATTGTTTTGGGTGAATGCCATTACTTTTTATTTCCAGATGAAGCCCCTTAACCGCTGATTCCATCAATTTGGATACGAGAAGCTGAAATAGCAGCTTGCATTGTAAAACAAGGCTCCTAGGCCCACCTGGAGGCAAGCCCTGAGGGGGGGCCCGTCGCAGAGTCCCACGGGCAATCCTCCAATGGACGTTGACACAACTCATTTTTACGCGTTGTCCCACGCACTATGGGCGGCCACCACTCGTCCTCACGGCTCAACTGCTGCGCTTTTTAGCGAGAAAAGTATCAAAATATGTCTGCGTGTGGCTATAACTATGCGGGGTAAAGTGAGTAATGGCGCGAGATCTGTGCCTGTGACACTGCGGGATAGCAGTCTCACTCGAGTGTGTTTTTAAAAAAAATGAAAAGATACGCATCACTGGATATTTGAACTTTATAACGCCCTCATGTCCCCCGGTTTTTCCTTTATTCTCGACAATGACCGATACAAGGATGAGCCCTGTTGACTCTCTTGGGCGATCGCTATATTGACCTCATGATCACTATCAATGGGCTACAATGGGAAACGGTAACCTTTGTTTGTTTGGCTATCACCTGCGGAAATATTTCTGTTCCGGGGGGAAATCGAGCCGTTTCACTCTATTATTTAGACGTAATTTACTGCTTTGGAAGAATTATTACTATTATTTTCGGGAAATCGGTTGAAGTCAAGGAAAATCATTATGTCATTCCGTTTTGATGACCTGATTTTAATGAGCATCACACCGAAATTTTTCGTAATTTTTCACAGGAGATTAAAATAAAAATTACGGAACGCTTCGGAAAAATTCCGAGACAATTCCGTAAAATTGTGATTTGACTTGATAGATATTATCACAAGGAATATTTTGACGTCAAAAAAATTCAATTCAGTCACGTAGTTTTCGAGATATTGAGGAAAAGAGATTTTTGAGAAATTGCTGTATCTCGGAAACTACTTGAGCGATTGAGGTGAAATTGCGCCCAGAAGTGCTCCAAAGTAACACCAATTATGCGATGAAATTTCAGATTTTTAGCTTCAACTTTGGCTATCACCTGCGGAAATATTTCTGTTCCGGGGGGAAATCGAGCCGTTTCACTCTATTATTTAGACGTAATTTACTGCTTTGGAAGAACTATTACTATTATTTTCGGGAAATCGGTTGAAGTCAAGGAAAATCATTATGTCATTCCGTTTTGATGACCTGATTTTAATGAGCATCACACCGAAATTTTTCGTAATTTTTCACAGGAGATTCAAATAAAAATTACGGCACGCTTCGAAAAAATTCCGAGACAGTTCCGTAAAATTGCCTACATCCACATTTCGCTCCGGAATTACGGAAAATATACGTAATTATACATATTCAATGAGTGCCACTTGCACAGTATTTAATCAGAGTTACTGAGATAAGTCTTTTTATTTCGCCTGAGTCGCACGAGTCTTATGGGAAATTCTGAGATAGTTTTCATTCCGTTTTGATCATCACCTCAATTAATTATCACTCCTGATGACCGCAGAATCAACATGGAATAACTCAACCCGAGCAATACCATAAATAATCCCAACAAATTGGATAATTCTCGACTAATTACGGGACTGATATTATCAGTCCCGAAATTTATTCGGCTTTCTAAATTGTCCTGCCCCTTAGTAGCTCTTGAGAGTGGCGCCTAGAAGCTTCCTCAGATAATTCAACATCAGATGCTCATCAGGCGCGGCACGTGACAGTTTTTCGTCGATAAAAACTGAGGTCGTCTGGTGTTAAACTCTCCATGGCTCTCGAGAGATTAAAAAAATAAGAAATACCACGCGCCTCTTTTGCAGCATAAAACGACTGCAGATGAATCCTCATTGACTCACCGCGGGTGTTCGCGTCAGTATCAAAATGTGATCCGGGCACATGGGGATATTGCCTGAAGTGGATTTTGAGAGGAGGCACTGATCTGGCTGCTCAGCGGGACAGCGTTCGAGGGCTCATTTCCGAATTCCCGGAATCACATCGGGTGGTGTGCGATGATGGCTCGATGACGATGAGTCAATGAGTTAAATAAACCGAGAGATTTTTTTTTCTCTCTTTTTTATCACTCGTGGTATAAATTTGGGGGCTTTATTAGTTGTCGAGTCATCGGTATTTTTTTCGGAATTCATTGCCGAGGGGGGAATATTCGAAAGTTATGGAGAGATGGTAACGGTTTGACAACAAATTGGTCTTCATTCGGGGCAAGAGCGGTTACTCTCTCCCACGCGATTTGATGGGAGGCATTTGACCCGTGGGTCAAATTCTGCGGGTTGGACATTCAGGAATTATTTATTTATTTATTTATTTATTTATTTATTCATCTATTTATTTATTTATTTATTTATGACACCCAAACAAATTTTTTCAGCAATCATTCAATCAATTCAGAACATTTTTTTAGTTATCGTGAGACGACCGATTTTCAAAAAAATTCACAAGTTGAAAAAACTAATGGATGAATTATATTTGAATTAATGACGATTGACAGAGCTCAACAATGTCTAAATTTAAAAAAGAAAAAGATTTAATTCCACCGGACGAGGTGGATGATCTTGGACTATTTTTTTTCATTATTTCAATTTTTCCAGATTCTGTGTCATCAACTGATTAATTCACATTTATAACACAAAATTATTATTCTGAAAAAATAATTTGTCAATTAATTTATCATCAATGTATGTTTATAAATTTAACAAAAAGTCAATAGATTTTGATATTTTTAATAATAATAGTCATAATAATAATAATAAGAATAATAATTCTCTTCAACGTTTTTCTAAAAAAATATTGAACCTAAATTTTCCAATTTTTTAGGTCTAAAAATTGCATTTTCGGACGTGTTAAATCATACTGGGTCCATGTAACCCAAAAAATCCAAAACTTAAATTTGAACGATTACAACGCTTCCATTCGGAATCAAAAGCCTTGAAAAGTCGATTTCACCTGTCGAAAGAGTTCACGGTGCCGCCATCTGCCTCGCACCCCCCGAAAGTCCATTCCAGTGCCCACGACCCGCTCGTCAAAACAGATTGCATGTCACCCAGTCGTTCCCCAGCTTCTGTTCTCTGTCACAAGTGTTTCATGCTCCTGGGGACGCCTCAGTGCTCAGTATGATATAAATCGTTGGTACACGCTGAAAGAAAAACTCACCCCAACACGATGTCAAGACGCAATCCCGGGGAGGACTATCGAAAAGGTTTTGTTACTTGCATATGAAAATACAATTACTCGAGACATTCGAATGATTTCAATTCCCTCGGCGAGGCGAACACTTTTTATATTCTCCGTAGACAGACATTTATGGTTTATATACGGTGCCCTACTTTGCTCCGGTTCGCGATATTTCCTCATTGCCGAGACTCCACCGCACAAATCGCGAATAAAAACGGTTAATAGAGACGGTGGTGGCCAGTAGATTGTAATGAACAAAATGCATGCATTTCGCACTCTCCACGGGGGTGGAATACGGTTTTCATTACATAATGTTCAACAAATACGTGTCATGATGAACCGTTAAGGTTCCACGTAATGTATTCGAGCGTTAGAACTCCCAAGCCATGAAAAAATCCGTTAAACATTGTGTTCGAAGCGGTAGTCCAATCACTTCGTATTTTATGGGTTTTAGTTTCTTGTTTTTATTCTTTTTACTGGGCACTTGGGGAGAGTAACAGGCACGAAAAAATTTTATAGAAAATCGTAGCGCTTTCTCCGAGAAATTCTAGTGGAGTTCTATTAAAAATCTATTTGTTTATGGAAAAGAGTTTAATTTACAGATGCTGATTTTTTTGTAATTCATTCTGTTAGTATTTTTGCTGCTGGAATTCTTGAATTTTTATAAGTTTTTTGTTGTGTTCACAAGAATTTCTATTGCAAAATCGAAAAATTTACTTTTTTCGATTAAATTAGTCGTAATAAAATTACAGGATAAGTTGCGTAATATTTAATAATGTTAATTGGCGCAAAGAATAAATAGAATATTCTAGTTGAATTCTCATGGATTTCGAATAGAAATTCAGTATAAAGGAATTCAATACCCCGCGTTTTTTAATTAATAATTGTTTATAAAAAATATATATAGATGGAAAAATATATAGATATCGATTTATCTATAGAATTCATCCTATTGGTATCTTTGCTGTATGAATTCTTGAATAATTCTTAAAGTTTTGTTTCTTGAATTCATGACGAGAATTTCTATAAAAAAATTGAATTCTATTTACTTTTTTTATACTAAATATCTTCTAATAGAAAAAAATTACGTAATATTCAATAGAATTGGCACAAAAAACTAGAATTCTAATTGAACTTCAGTAGAATTATCATAGACTTCCAAGAGAAATTCAATAGAATTTTCTATAAATTTTTTTTGTTTCTGTGGAATCAGAGATATTCTTCAATTAATTGTTTTTTATTTTATTAGTTTAAAGTACAGAGCCCCATCAATTACTCATCAGTTCACAATTTTATAAATTCATGTATAAAAAATATTAATAGAAAAGCCTAACACTTTTTCTAAAGAAATCTATTGAATTTCTATTGAAACTCTACAAAAACTACTTTAATTTTATTAGAATTCTATTTGTTTTTTGCGCCCATTCTACAAAAAATTATACGTCACCCGCATTTTTAAATAGATATTTATTCATTAAAAAATGTCGATAGATGTTGATTTTTCTAAATAACTTATTCTATTGCAATTTTTTCTATCAGAATTCTCGAGCATGATTCTTGTCAATTTTGTTCTTGAGTTTTATTATAAAGAACGAATAAAAATCCAGTGGAAACAAATTGACAAATTTATGCACAAGAACTTCTACAGAAAAACCGAAATCTATCCATTTTTTTTCGTCAAAAATCTCTTGACAAAATGACAGGGTAAAATTGCATATTCTTTAATAGAATCGACGCAAAAGTAAATAGAACTGTTTAAAGGAAGCACTAGATTTTTCTATCAAATTTTTTCACACGTAAATTGCTGGGAATAATCGACTCAATGGGAGACAAAACGGTCGAGACAATCATGTCGTGAAAAAAAATCCATGAGTTTGATGCAGGTTGGACAAATAGAACTGGGAAAAGCCAAGAACATGAATTATAGTGTCATTGACGAAAATATATGTAGCATGCTGCTTGAGATTTTCCGGTTACTAAAGTCAGCCTCGTTTAACTTGATCTGAACTTTGCCAGTGTTTGACGTTGTCAGGGTCAAGTACCTACAGAGCGGAGGATAGGAGGGATAAGGATGATGACAGGGACAGATCGCCCCTCAGGTCAGACGACAGGAGGGATTCACCAACTTATGGGCAGGGAGAATCTAGGAAACAGAAATTGACTTTTGGATTTGGAAAGAAAGCCTCCACGGCTGATCAGAAGAAGGGGATACAGATCAAATTGGGGGCAACATCTGTGAGTTTACACAAGATCATTGAATTTTAGTTGAGGAACTGTTATTTTTTTTTTTTTTGAATTGTCACTTATTTCAAGAGAATTTCACATAAAAATCAGGAAAAATTTGGATTTTCAGTCATTTTTACTCAACATTATTCCAATTTTACTTCGATTGAATTTCAATTTTAAATTGAATTTAAATTCAATTTAATTTGATTCAAAAATTAAAAACTTGAGAAAGCCTCCACGGCTGATCAGAAGAAGGGGATACAGATCAAATTGGGGGCAACATCTGTGAGTTTACACAAGATTATTGAATTTTAGTTGAGGAACTGTTATTTTTATTTCTTTTTTTTGAATTGTCACTTATTTCAAGAGAATTTCACATAAAAATCAGAAAAAAATTGGATTTTCAGTCATTTTTACTCAAAATTACTCCAATTTTACTTCGATTGAATTTCAATTTTAAATTGAATTTAAATTCAACTTAATTCGATTCAAAAATTGAAAACTTAAAATTGAAATTTCAATTGAAATTCAATTTTTTCATCTGACAAAAAAATAGAAAAATTTAAAAATTACAATTTTTGAAAATTACGAACATTTGATATAAAAAATTTATAAACTTTCAATTTTCCACCATAAAAATCAGTTGTTGGTAATCAACAAATTTATTCATATTCAGAATTTTACCAGAAATCGATCTCATGCCTTAAAAAATAATGTTTCCGAAATTGTAAACAATTTCAATTTTTATTTATTAACACCGAATGTTTAAAAATTCGGTGAAAAACATAATTTGCGTGACAGTGAGTACACTGAATATTAAAAATGAAATTAAAAATGAAATTAACTCAAATTTTTTATTTCAAGAGAAACTTAGTTTAGTAATTCTGAATTTTTGAGTTTCAATTTCTATTTTAAAAAATATACTCCTCAAAATTTTTCTGGATTTATAGACATTGATTAAAAAATCAAGAGACAAATAATCTGTTTGCTGCCAACATTCATTTCTAATTATTTTCTGGGGCTTTTTCATCGAAAATTAATCAATTTTCTTGCAGAAACCAGTGGCCAAACCTGTAGCAAAGCCGACAGTGGCCTCAGTATTCAACGCCGACGATGACGACGAACCCGAGGAGATGCCAGCAGAGGCTCGAATGAGAATGAGAAACATAGGGCGTGAAACTCCAACATCAGCTGGGCCCAATTCATTCGGAAAGACTAAACAAGGCTTCTGTGATTCTAAGAAAATATTCGAGAAGACCCTCAAAAAGGCGATGGAAGAGGCCAACAAATGATTCTATTATTAGTCTTTTTCCCTTGATTATTTTAAGAAAATTGTACATTCGTTTAACGTAAGTGGTATATCGGAGGTAGCAGTTGAATTTGGAAAGCTGGAGGTTTTTACCGTAGCCCGGATGTTTTTTCTTCAATTAGCCAAGTCGCTTTCAACTCAGATCATTTTCGGTACATCGACATGGTGCAGGGGAAATTTTTATCAACGACTCTTGTGTGATTATTGTGTAATTTAAGATGTTACAATCTTCCCTCGATGTCCCTCGGTCTTTCCTGATATTTCCATCAGTGATATTTCAATTGTAAACGTGACAGCTGTAGGGCTGTGAAGGACAGACTCAGTAATCAGGAAATTCACGTGAATAAATATTAATTTCTTTCAATACTAGCCTTTGATTATTTATTGGTTGGTGTTGGGGGAATTTTTTTTTACCTTTTTGGGATTCTTTTTTACTTTTTATTCTTCTCGTATTTTCAGGTCATAAAACCAAAGAATTCCTCATCAGATATTTATAACCCTTTCCTAATATTCGTCGTAAAAGAATAAGGAACTCCTCGTTCATAGAAAAATAGTGAAAATTGATCAAATTTCAAGGCAAATTTTCTTTAAATTCAATTTATTACATTTAACTCTGATGACATTCTGTAGATTTGGGTGCTATGCATGGAGTGCTAAATTGATTGTCTATAATTTATTTAATCTTCAAAAATTGTCAATTTCGAATTGTTTTTTGAATTTTCTCCCAAAAGTAGAATGTAATTTTTTCAGATTTTTTAAATGTTTCTCAACTGTTTATTATGGAAAATTAATTTTGGACCGTCAAAGTTTAAACAAAATATTTTATTAAAAGGGTCCTCAAAATATTCCTATTCATAAATAAATAATGGAAATGGTTCAAATTTAATCATTTTTTTAAACTGAATTTTTCCAATTTTCAATTTTCTGGAGTTCAAAATTCGTTATAAATTATTTATAAAGGTAATAATCTTAAAAATTTGTAATTCTTCAATTACATGGATTTTCCTAAAAAAAAAGTAGACTTTCAAGTTTTAAAATTTCAAAAATATCTCGCAACAGTCGAGAATAAAAAATCACTGGACCCTTAGAATAAAAAAAATAAAAATACTTGAACATTCCCTACCTTTTCCAGATATTTTTCAATCCCTCCTTTCACCTCTAAATTCCCCAAAACGAATCCTACATCAGGAAGGATAATAAATAATTCTCTCAAACACCCAAAGCATTTTTTAAAGTTTTTTATTTATTTTGTAATTAAAAATTACACATGAATTACTTCCTGTTCTGCTGGGGTCCCTGGCGCATGTCCTGAAAAGAGGACACGTGAAATGAGCACACCTACATCTCAATGATAACACGTATGAAAAAATTTCATAGAAAAACTTGGCGAATTCGATTTTTTTTACAACTTATTCTATTGAGATATTTTTCATAAAATTCCCTCGACTCAAATTAACAAGTTTTTTGTTTGATTTTCTTCACGAAAAAAACAGAAAAATAGAATGAAAAAAATTGGGAAATTTAAACCGAGTAAATTCTATAAAAAATATCTCAATAGAATAAGTTGTACAGAAAAATCAAATTCTATTGGCTTTTTACAGATTATTTTCTATTGAACAATTCAATATAATCGGCCAAAGATGATAGAAAATTCCATAGAAATGTCTAGCGAATTGGCTAGGTTTTCCTATTAAATTTTTTGTTCGTGAATGATAAACAATAATGAAATGGGAATAAATAGTCACCCTTGGGAAGTTGCGAAGAGGTGGTGTCCTGATGCGACGATCAGCCTTGGATCTGTTACGAACGACTTTGCTGTGAATTGCGCATGACACGCAGTAGTGCAATTTTGCGTATAGTTTAGGGAGCTGATAGGTATCGTAGACGCTGGCGTCGTTGATGTCCCTCACAGCAGCAGCCTCGACGATGTTACGGATAACAAACTTCTTGATTGCCTTGTCCTTCGGAACGCAGCGAGCACAGTTGGTGCAACGAACGGGGTTGACATGGCCTCGACCATGTTTGGCCCTTCCACCATTCCTTCGCTTTGTTGTCTGGAAAAGAAAATGAAAAACATTTTTATTCTGAATATTTCGTAATATCTTAATTTGAAATAGTATGAAAAATTAAATTCCACTGATTGTTTCTATAAAATATTATTTTCTATATTCTCTATGAAAAACGTGGATTGGAGCTGCGGAATTCTCTGATAGAGTGGGACAAAAACTTATTTTCAATAGAAGTTCAAGGAAAATTCGACAGAAATCAAATAGAATTCTCTGTATTTTTCGTTACATCTATTATCTTGGAAGAGATCAAGACTTCAATAGGGAAATGAATTAATTTTTTTCCCACTCGTAATTAACTAAGCGATATCTCCGAAACTACTGGATTTATTGGAAACTGTTGCGAGATTTTTTGTGGCAAATGTTATGGCCTTTAAAGAAGAAAATTAATTTCCATTGTTATTTTCTTCTCATAAAATGAAATCTTGAACTAGAAAGTTCGTTGAAAAACGGTGAAAAAGGTTTTTGATAATGTCCCCCATGAAAAATTCTTTCTCGACATCTTTGAGTGAATTAATGAAAAGAAAACGAAACAAAATTTTCCCCACACGCAATATTCATCGATTCAATTTTATATTCTCAATTTTTTCGTGAAGAATAATGCACTGGAGGGCATTGTTACTCGTTATTTTGAGGTTATGTTGACTTCACCCCCCTAAAATACAAGATTTCCACCAAAATTGGCGAATAACAACTAAACTAAATCCACGAAAATAGACAATTTCCCAGTATTCGATAGAAAAACTAATTATTAATCGCCAAAATTAATAAAAAAAACTCTGGCCACATGGCATCACCGAACGTCACTACTTCCTCCCGAAATATCTCATCATTAGCACGAAATTACCACTGTTTTTGCCCATCCACTAATTAGAAAACATTGTCAAGTGGTAAAAACCATCAAAAATACAATTAAACAATTCTAAATCGAAAGATATAAAAATAAAACTTGGAAGTCTTGGTTACCATTTTGCCTCGAGTGCCGTGGCGGCCAAGAAAAGAAAGCGGAAGCGCTAGGGCTTCAGGCAGCTTCAGGGGAAGAGACTCTCACTCCCAAGTCAAAACACCTGCTTCCAATAATGAACAAAAAAATCAATTTTGCGTTTAAATAATCGTCAACTTGCTCTTTATTTTCACTTTGTTTTTTTTTCGCTTGAAAATACATTTTATGTAATACTTTGTCAAATAAATATATAAGTCATCTTGAGCTATTATTGGCGGAATTTTTGAAATTTTCCAGTCCCCAAAATTCAATAAGAGTTTATTCTTAAATTTCTCACATGAAAAAAATTGATGGTAAAATCTAGCGCTTTCTTTAAGAAATTCTATTGAATTTCTGTTGGAACTCTATAAGAATTCTCTCAAAATTTTATCAGAATTCTATTAAAAAATATTTCTGTAAATTTTGAAACTTTACCGCGTCATTTTTTTAAGAGCTATTTGATAGAAAAAAGTAAATAGATCTGGATTTTTCTTTATAAATTCTTGGGTGTCAATTTTCTCTGCTGTGAATTTTTATTTATTTCTCACATTAAAATCCACGAAGAAATATTTAGAAAAATGATGCCCAAAATTCTTGCTGAAAATATTCCAATAAAATGACTTATTTAGCATATTAACTAGTTATTTTGTTTTTTTAGCGAAAAACCTGGGGAAATCATGTCCAAAACTTCTAATAGAAAAATCCCAACAGAATAAATTATATAGAAAAATGTCTATAGATGTTGATTTTTTCATAAACAAAATACCTATTTAAAAACGCAGGGGGTCGTTGCATAATTCTTAATAGAAATCACACAAGAAACAAATTTATCTTTCAATTCTAATGGAATTCCCATAGAATTCTTATAAAGTTTCAATAGAACTTCATGAGAATGCCTTAGAGAAAGCACTAGGTTTTTTTTCTATTAAATTTTTTCATGTGTTTTGCATTATGTTTTCCCTATGAGAGAATTTTTTTTGTCGACGAGATATGTAGAACATTTGCAAGACATATTTTATTATAATTTTTTTTACATAAGCACCATTTTTTATAACACATTGAATATTCATGAAATAATTTCATAGAAAAACCTAGCGAATTCGATAGAACATTCGATTGCATTTCTATTGGACTTCCAACCTTAAGTTTTTTTCTCAGGAATAAATAAAAAAATCAGTTTTCCGTATAAAAGACTCGCCAACTTGCTCTTTATTTCCACTTTGTTTTTTTTCCCTCGAAAAATACATTTTTTTTTCGTAATATCAGGCTTTGTAAAATAACTCCAGAACTCATCTTGTTTCATTTCTGGGGGCAACCATGAAGGTAATAATCGTAAAGGATTGTACACTGGTCCAAATTGTCAATAAAAGATCCTCAAAATTCACCCCTAAACTCTCAGATTTTCACTGAAAATCACCAACAAATAGATCAATCTGATCGATATTATATTTTCTGCATGCAATATTTTTTTCATCGAAGATATGTAAAACATGATATTTTATTGCAGTTTTTTATGCAGATTATTAATCCTATAACATTGAAAAGCAATGTGAAATTCACGCGCGATAAAAATTCATAGAAAAATCCTAACGAATTCTACAGGAAATTCCATTGGATTTCTATTGAGCATCTGTTCCCAACTTTTTTTCACAAATATTTAACGAAAAAAATTGTTCTCTGTATTCTGTTTTTTTTCATTACAAAATTGCCAAATACTTATCTTGCCGAAAAAATTATCCGGATATAATTATTATTAATCATATCCTCCTCAATAGAAATGAAAAAAAAACAATGGAATTTCCAATAGAATTCCTATAAAATCATTATTCTTGGCCTAGATCGAACGAATTTCACTGCAGCATTATAAAATTGAGCCTGAATTCGTGGACGTTTTGAATCTCGAGTAGCTTCTATTAGAAATTTTAATGTCAAATTTTTTACAGTGCATAAACCGAAGTAAAAGGTAAGTCGAACAATTGAGTTCCTCTCAACAGTTCAAGAACACAAAAACTTTCTCCCCACCGACCAAACGTTCATTTCAACTCTCTTTCTTATAATTCGGAATATTTACATGTCGCAGAGTTCGGTGTGCCATCAAACTCTTATGGGACACAAAAGTCAGGGGACACACGTCGCACGTGAATTTTCGCTCGTGAGTGTGACCAGACGCCTGATGTCTCAGCAAGTCGCCACGAACTGGAAATGTTGCTCCACACAAATCACAGTGATGCTCCCATCTCTCCGGGGGCGTGTGTTGGACTGCTATGTGATATTTCAATCTAATGCTAGATCTGAGGACAAAAAATTGATTATTCACAGAATTTTATATTTAAGAAATAAAAAGTTTTACGTATGAGAAAATTTATTTAAAAAATCTAGCAAATTTGCTGAAAATTCAGCTGCATTTCAATTGAACTTTCTAATCATTTTTGGCTGATTCTATTGGAAAACTCCACAGCTCACACAAGCAGATGTTGATTTTTCAACATAACTCATTTTGTTGAATTGTTTTCTATAAAAAAATCTTTGAGATGAATCTTTCAAGTCTTTTTTTTTATTTAAAAACACTCAAAAACTTTAATTTTTTTAAATCTTGTAATGAGACACTAAAAAAATTAAAAAGTTGGAAATTTTATGTTTAATATTTTTTTATAAAAACTTTGAAGAGAACTATTATTATTATTATTATTATTATTATTATTATTATTATTATTATTACAATTAATACAAATATAAAAATCGATTGACTTTTTTAAAAACTTATAAACATATATTAATTATCAATTAATTCATGACACAAAATCCGGAAAAACTAAAATAATGAGTAAAAAAAATTGTCCAGTATGGAAATGGGAATATTTATCAATTACACAGTTACTCACACACAGGTTTTGCCGCAGAAGAGGCAGGGATGGCGCAGGGGTACCTGTTTCTCCTTCGGTGATTTTTTTTCGTTGGAGGGTGATGTAACTCTAGCCAATTGTTGTTTCCATATGGTTCTAAACAGATAGAACAAATAATTAATTCCCTTTATAACGCTAAAATGAAAAAAAATATGTACGAGAAAAATTCATATGAAAACCTAGTGAATTTAATAGAATTCTTATTAAAAGATGACATTTTTTGCTCATTTCACCAACTTCTCTTGAAATAAAAAATGACCCATTCGATTATGTGATCTCAATAGAACTCTTAAGTCGTGACACGTATTTTTTAATATGTAAAATGAATAATACATTACTTGAGAGCACAGGAACGAGCGAAGCGAGCGTACGAATGTTCATTAGACACATGAAAATTCTTAAAATCGTCGAAATCCTGGATAACGTTGGGCTCGTAGCTCTCAGGCTCCTGGCTGTTCTCAATACTCCAGCATGGCTGATCTATAGTCCGAAGTTTACGATTGTAAATTCTAGGCTTCCTGTTATCACACATATTACATCGATCTGCGCGCACTCGGATGCGATTGTTCTGTATGGAAACATCAATTATAATTACTGAACATTACCTTGAGCTCATGACTAAATTTATAAGACAAGATTAATATACGAATTTTTTATGGAATACATCCAGAGAAATTACGCATTTGAATAAAAAAATAGATTTTTCAATTATAATTATAATAAAACTTCAAGAGAATTCTTATGGAGTTTAAACAGAAATTTAAAAACTTTTTTTGAGAAAAAACGCTAGTTTTCCATTAAATTTTTTCGTGCGTGATTTTTCTCCTCAAACAAGACAATTTAATTTATTTAAATTTAAGAATTAAAAAAAAATTGTTTTTTTTTTATTTAAATTTTGTTCAAGAATGTTTATAGAAAGCATCTCCATAGAAAAGTCCAATTCTATTGATTATATTATTAATTAATTATACTATATATTAATCATGATTAATTAATTAGATTATATTAATCAATTCTCTTGATTTATTCTGCAGAATATTTTCCATGGACCATTTTTCAATGAAATCAAATCCAGCGAATTCACTACTTAAAAAAAGATTATTTTTTCTACATGTCCAACTTCAATTCCTAATTAATAATTTGTTAAATAACATTGCACATACCTTACGTTTGATAAGACGAAACTCCTTCGCTGAAGCTGTCCTGCCACAGTTTTTACAGGTACGTTGTGGATCTCTGAAGGTGATGACTTTCGAATTTCCGAAAATCGAAGAGTCACTCTCTTCCTTCATCTCAACGGTCTGCTCCTGGTGTCCAGAGGGGCCAGGCTCATCGATGTCGAGGGGCTCCTGTTTGCACCGAGTATCGACGAAAGCGATTGACAGATCGTTGTGATTGACGTCTTGGCCACTGCTCCAACTGAGATTGTCGTCCAGCCTCTCGAGCTTGACTTCCGGCACCCTCTGGAAGATCTCGGAGAAATCCTTGTGATTCGAGAGGTCGTTGTACACTGCCTCGGGGAAGTGATAGGTCTCGATGATGATGGGGTCCTTGCCAGAGTCGGAGTCATCTTCACTCGATTTTTTCTCCCTCGTTTTAACTTCCAGGCGGGAGCGCTCTCTATGCAACAATTTTTTTCTTCTCTGGATTGAGGATCTCTCGAGGAGCTCGAGGTTCGCTTTGAGACACAGGATGTGGAGGTTGTAGCTCACCTCCAGGGCGTCGAGACAACCGGGGCATATGTGATTGGGTAGTCCGTCACCCGATCGAATCTGAAGAACATTAGAGGAATTGAAGGGAATTTAAATGGCAAGTGTGGGGGACATTTAGTTCGTTTTTTCCTGGAGGTGACAACCAAACTACAACCAAATTGTCTATGAATTTTCAATTCTTATCCTAACAGTGAAAATCATTTTTTAAAAACCATTAAACCATTAAAAAAAACATCTATAAACCTTTTCATTCAGTAAACCTGAGAAAAATATTTATTTCGTCCAACAAGCTACGAAATTCTCAACAGAATACCAAAAAGTTCTGAAAAATATTGACATTTAAGACATCCTTCATTTGAGCCCTCAAAAACGATGATTTCACGGACGAAAAAATTTAGTAGAAAAACCTATCGAATTCGTCAGAAAATTCTATTGAATTTCAATTGAACTGTTCTATTAGTTTTTGGCCGATTCTATTAAAATATTCAGTAGAAAAAGTCAGTAGAATTCAATTTTTCTGAATAACTTATTCTATTGAGATATTTTCTGTAGAATTTCCTCGACTCAAATTCTACGTTTTTTCGTTCGATTTTCTTGACGAGAAGAAAAGAAAAATAGAATAAAAAAAAATTGGAAAATTTGAGTCGAGCAATTCTATAGAAAATATATGAAAAGAATAAGTTATATAGAAAAATCGAATTCTGTTGACTTTTTCTATTGAACATGTCAATAGAATTTTCTAACGAATTCGATAGGTTTTTCAATTAAATTTTTTCGCGCGTGTTGTACGTAAATTCGGTGAAATCTAGTGACTCAGGATGGAAAAGGTCTACTGAATAGTCTAGACCCCAACAGAGCCCTGAACAAAAATAAGCAACTCAACCGGTATGAAGTGCCACTTATAGGTTAATCCCAAGTAAACATTCACTAATTCTCAAAGTCAGAATAAAAATCACTCCCAATTACCTGAACGGGCAAACACCTGATCATCCTCCCCACATTCCCCTCGCTTTTCCGAAAGATCGGTGTGTAGTTAGTCCCCTGAATCGTGCACAATCTGCACGTCTGCTCCTCAGTTGAATCCATTGTTGGTGCCTCTGATCCCTCAATTCATGTCACTCAACCAGTGAATTTTCACATAAAAATCCCGCCGTTCTCTCCGAAATAAATCCAGATGCAACAATGGATGGAACAACCTTGGACTGTCTTTTGGAATCGAAAATCAGCTGATCGATTATCGTGTTGATCAGTGCGATCCCTGAAATGTGGACTAGATCCCTAGTTTAGACTAGATCGACGCAGTGCAACGACAATAGAACTCCTAGGTATTGTTTACAACGAATCACTCGCACGTGTGTGAGGGTGGGTGACGAGTTCCTAGTTTGTTGCCGTGTGAAGTGACTTTTCCGATACGAGTGGTGATGTGAAGCGGGAAGAAAAGGAGAAAGAGGGAGAATTAGCGTCGAGAGTGGGGGCGTCAATGTTACATGTGTGAGGGAATTCCTGTGATGAATTGACATTCGAATTTTTCCAATTTTTTAAATTGGTTTTTAAAAAAGAAAGATCAGTAAGAAATAGTTTTCAGGGAGAGAGAATTGATTTTTATTTTTTCATATAGTTTATTGGGTTAAAATTGTTTTCAGAGATTCTTCTGATCAAATTATCCAATTGTTTTTGCTTGATTTTTTTAATATGAAGAAAAAATGATATTTTTTGGAGAAAAACTGGAATCTATTTTTTTTTTATAAAAAAAAATTCTATTGAACATTTCCGATAGAAGAGCGATGAAAACTTTATGTTTAACAGAAAATATTCTATAGAACAACCGAATAGAATTCGATTTTTTATATAATTGATTCTATTGAAATATTTTTTACAGAAGTTCCTCGGCTCAATTTTTTCAATTTGCTACATTCTATTTTTTTTTTTCATCAAAAAAATTAAACAAAAAACTTGGAAAATTTTATTCTCACTTCAATTCAGAACATTAATTCACAGTAAACAATGTAAAAGTGACTGTAGTGTTGTTCAGTGTCAGTGTTAATCAGCGTGGAAGTGTCAGTGTTAATCAGTTTCGATGTTAATCGACGAGGCATCGACCAGACGACAAGGGTAAGAATTTCCACCAGAAATTTATGCACGTTTCCATGTTTTATTTCCTTATTCACACATTCTCAGCATTGGAATTATTAACAATACAACAGAGGCATCAATGCTAAAAATTAATTACCTCATAATTTATGAATTCGCGTCATAATTTCCGTCAACTCCCAACGATAAAAAACTGTCTTCAATTTTTTGCAGACACAGAATACAATTAAATTCAATTGATTCATTAAAAGCAAATTGTTTTGTAACATTGATTTGAGTGAAAAATTAATTTCTATTAATGAATGGGTAGAACAAAGGAAAATCGACTTAGGTCCAGAGCCATTTCACGTCGTCATGAAAAATTATACAATTATTAACGCCCACTCATGGCTGAGGTTCCTGGGTAATATGCATATTCCTAATGTGCTTATCGAGGTGGGACTTCTGCACGAATTTCGAGCCACAAACGTCGCACAAGTATTTCTTCTCTCCAGTGTGTTTTCTCTTGTGGTTTGTGAGTCGAAATATCTGGGGAAAACGAGCTCCACACACTTCGCAAATGTACTTCCACTCCTCAGGGGGGCGGTGGCCCATTATGTGCGTCTTCAAATGTCTCTTGTTGCTGAGGAAAAGTCCGGTTGAAAGTCCAGTTGAAATTTATGGGCATTTGGGAGAATAGTTATTCAAGGGATAATTCAGTTGGTGACACTTACATGAACTTCTTTTGGCAGTAATCACAGAAAAATCCGTCTGATCCATGTCTCTGAAAATGCGCCCAACGTGCTGCATACGTCCTGAACATGAAGTAGATGAATTAACTTTTTGTCAAGATGATCAACTTTTTGCTTCTATTCATCATCTCTTCGTTTTTATGCATGTAAAAAGGAGAATGAAGCGCGAAAAAATCTGCTACAAAGAAATATTAGACATTGAGACTTTTCCTATTTGTTCTAGGAATTCCTCGACATGAATTCTCAATTCCAAAAGTTTTTTCGCTCCATTTTTCTCTCCTTTTCATGAAAAAAAAAAAATTATACAAAAAAATTTGGAAAATTTGAGCCCAGGAATGTCTATAGTCAATTGAAAGCCGAGTTTAATTGACTGTGTGAAACACACAGTAGTATGAAACTTCAACTGCGTGAAATACACAGCAGTATGAAAATTCGGCTGCGTGAAACACACAAACTTCACGCATGCGTGGAGTGTATGGAGTGTACGGGAGTGATTCACGCAATGGTGCGAATAGTCACGGCCTT